GTCTCAGTCTTACCGTGTCTTCATGATAAGACAGTTCTACTGAATTGATATGATTCATTACTTAGAGTTGAAGTCCTTGAAGTGACTCCCAAGGTCCTGCTCATTGCCTGTGCTTTCCTCAGTTTCCCCCGCCCTGTGTTGTTGGAGCTAATAAAGTGGGCAATCCAGAGAAGTCTTTGTCTTAGCTTTGGGAGTCTCCAGCTCAGCTAAAGGATTTTGACCCTCCTGGAGCCCTAAAATCATACAACTTGTCTCATTTTATTTAAACCTCCACTGAACACTCATTTGGGAGATCAGGGATCTAGGTCAGGACCGAATAGCAAAATTCTTTGCACATGACTTATAGAATGTTGTTTTTACTACGAAATAGTAAAGTATGTTGTAACTCAGTTTATTTAAAGAGAAGATTCCAATCTGAATGAATTATCTATTTTTTTTCTATTTCTTCAGTGAAAAATAAAAATGTTTTAAAATTTTTAATTAAAATTCTCTAATACTTAGTAAGTTTATAAGTAGAAATTTTTAAAGATTCCAAAGCAATTAATTGGCATATTAAACATAAGACTTAAAAAAGCAATCCATAAAAAATCAAATTATAACACTGAAAATTGAAAATTAATGATTGTTTTTAAAGAATAATTTGCTGAAGGATTTCATTAGTTTTTCCACAAACATCTACTTCTAAATTAAAGTAAAACCACATCTACCTTTTTTCTGAGACTGAATATTTCAAATATTGTAATACAGGGGTTAAATTTTTACTGAATTATGTGCAGGTGCCAATTGTAGATTAATTTTTCAATGCCATGTTTTCATTCTACAAAGCAAAGAATTCACAGAAGCTGCTCAGAGGATGAACTTTTGCTATTTGATGTGGGTTTTCTGTTCAGGCTTAATGTGCTGTATAGAGAATAAAAAGTGTTAATGGCACATTGTGAGTGGATAATTTTGAGAAAAACATAGTTTGTTTGTTTGTTTGTTTCTTTCTTTCTTTCTTTCTTTCTTTCTTTTTTTTTATCGGTACCAGGGATCAAACTCAGGACTCCGTGCTTTCAGGGCAGGCGCTTATGCTGCTGAGCTAAATCCCCAGCCCAAGATAAAAATATTTTCAATGTTTGATTCCTTATGTAGATTCAGAAGAAGTACTTACACACTGAAAGAGTGCCACTAAGCACATTTTATGACACTAAGGGCATTATCTTCTTAGAGTTTGTATTACCTGACATATAAGCAATTCTTTAATAAATGTTAAATGGGGTAATAAACTTTTAATATTCCCAGATCCCAGTGAAATTATATACCAACTATGTGTAGAGTGGTAGCTCAGTTTATGAACTTAATTTGTTTTATGATTTTGATTTTGAGGAAGATGGCTGTGTGTGCATTTGTGCGGGGAAGATAGTCACATGTGTCATTTACTGTGGAGTTTACAAACGGAAGCAAAATTTTGCCCAATGCTTTTGTTTTTGCATCAAATTGTTTGCACATGGAAGTGCTCATGAACTGAGATATTATTATATTTTACTTTCTTCAATTCTATGTTTTAAATTAAGAATCAAAAAATTATTATTTTAGGAGAACTTTACCTCTACACTGATCTCAAAAAATTTTAATCATGGTAGGACAGGGTGCTATTTTCTGTATGTTTCTCTCGTTACTATTTTCTAATTGAGCTAACTTGTCAACATCCTGATTTGCAAATTCTGTTCATAGAAACTTAGTAGACATTATACAAATTCCAGCTGGTTAATGTCATCATCATCTCTTCATATGAGTAATTTATAATAACTGCGACTTTTACTCACAGTTGCTGTATTACACATGTCACTTCTTACAAAAAGTTGCCATACCCATTTCCCTGGAAGGACTAAAGCGCTAGCAAGCTGCTGAGGCTCACACAGGTGAGATGTTTTGTTAAGATGTGAACCAGGTCTGACAGCATCCCAAATGAAGAGCTTTTCTACTCTGCTCTCCTGCTAATTTTTCTAGGGAAGAACTGACAGCAAGGAAGGTTTAAACTTTGTCAAACACATGCCACTCAGTCATTAACAACTTGGATCCACCCTATAGTTTTGAGTAATGATTTCACATAAAGGCGATGCAAATCAATTTATTATTTTGGTAGATCTAGAGTTTGTTAGCAGCAGATGGCTCCAGGAGGTGGGAATGTGGCTTTTAGGAGGCACTTCAAAGTGAGCCTTAACTTGTCCAACTAGGTAACTAACCTCTTTACTTGGAATAATGTAAAGCCTTTTAACAATAGGGTTTACAACGCCTATAATTCACTTGGAAACAAAGGAGACCTAGAATAGCAAAGGCAATTCTGAGCAACAAAGGCAAGGTAGGAGGCATCTCAATTCCTGACTTGAAACTATACTACAAAGCCACAGTGATAAAATCAGCATGGTACTGGCAAAGAAAGAGACCTGAGGATCAATGGAACTGATTAGAAGATGCAAATACAAGTACAAAGACACTCAGCCACCTGATATTTGACAAAGAGGCTAAATACGTTCACTACAAGAATGATAACCTCTTTTATAAATGGTGTTGGAAATTGGCTTTCCATATGCAGAAGACTGAAACTAGATCCATGGATATCACCATGTACAAAGCTGAAGTCTAAATGGACCAAAGATCTAAACATCAAAACGGAAACACTAAATCTACTGGAAGACAAGGTAGGTAGAAGTCTTGGAGACATAGGGGCAGGCAGAGAATTCATGAACAAAATTCATGAACAAAATGTGGGAAATACTTCAAAGAATCAACAACTGGGAAATCATATTGTTAAAAAGTCTCTGCACGTCAAAAGAAATCACCAACAGAGTAAAAAGAAAACCCACAGAATGGGAAAGAATTATAGCTAGCAACCCCTCAGACAAAGGATTTATACCCAGAACATATAAAGAATTGAAAAACATCAAATCCCCCAAATTCAAAGACCCTTTCCAAAAATGGGCATCTGAGATGAACACACAGTTCTCAGATGAAGATATACAAATAGCAAATAAATACGTGAAGAAATGTTCACCATCACTGGTCATTCGAGAAGTGCAAATTAAAACAGCGTTGAGATTTCATCTCACTCCAGAAAGAATAGCTGTCATAAAACAACCGATAACAAATGTTGGCAGGGGAAAAAGGGACACTTCTCCACTGTTGGTGGGAGTGTAGACCAGTGCAGCCACTATGGAAAACACAATGGAGATTTCTCAGAAAACTAGGATTGTAAGTTCCATTCAACCCAGCTATTTCCCTCCTGAATATTTTCCCAGAGAAACTGAAAACGTCATGTCACAGTGATATATGTTCATAGCAGCACAATTTGTAATATCTAAATCTTAGAAACAAAATGCCCATCAACTGCATAGTGGGTGAAAAAGATATGGTATTTTTATACAATGGAATATTACTCAGCTATAAAAAAGATGATCTTGAGGCCTTCATAGGTAAATGGAGGCAACTTGAGACTATTCTCATAAAATATTTTTATAAATATGATATTTATAAATTTATCATATTTATAAATATCAAATTTTGTCTCTAGCATAAAAAAGTATTAAGAATTGTAGGAGTAGGGGTGAGGATTTGGCTCAGTGGTAGAACACTTGCCTAGCAAGCTAGAAGCCCTGGGTTCGGTCCTCAGCACCAAAACCTGAAAAACAAAAAATCCACAAGAATTATAGGAGTAATAAAACTCAAAATGTGTAATTTCTATTGTCAAAAGGAGAGGAAAAGAAAGTGCTCTAAAGAATATAACTGCATGTGTGTTTAAGTGTGTAGGATTGATAACTATATTATTCTTTTTGTTGGATTGTTGAGCATAACTGTTTGCAGTCTCATTGTTTGAATGCCCACTTTGTGTGCTTTAATTTTGTAACTTGAACAACTATTTCTAAGATGACGGTTTTTAATCTGTCAACTAGTGATTTCTTAAATTTTTTTTGGAATTCTGTATTATTGCTTCCCTTCTTTCTGTTTTGCTTTTTTTCTCTTTAAATAAAAATTTTTTAATAGGCTTTATTTTTTGGAGCGGGGGAGTATGTAAACTGTAAAGGACTTTAGTGGTTATTTATGTCATGTTACTAATTTTTTCATCAAACTCTACCTATAATGTATGTTATAGTTTGTGTCTAGATATTCTCCCAAAGCCTCATGCAATCAGAGGGGGGTGCATTTTCTTCAGAGCTAGCTGAATCTAAAGAGTATGATTGATTTGCAATGCAATGCCGGGATTAAGGGTGCTGGAAGTTACAGTGGGTGATTGCTAAATGAGTCCACTGATTGGATTGGTATCACTTTAATCTTGGCAGACTGAATATAATGTAAGGAACATATAGAGATTTGTCTCATGCTTTGCTTGCTTGCTTTTGCTGTCTTCTGCTGCCATAAACTGTTGCCCCTCTGCCACGCCACCCTGCCTTGGAGCCAGTCAATTATGGACTGAAACCTCTACAAACTGTGAGCTAAATAAGCCTTTCCTCCTTCAATTTTGGATGTCAGGTATTTTGTCTCAGCAATGAGAAAGTAACTAAGACAATACAATTGTGACTGTAAGTTTTTATTCTAAAATGTTGGAGCTTATTTGCATATCAATAAAAGTACCGCTAAATTAAAAGAAAATTTGTGGGCTGGATTTGCCTGTAAATTTACAATAATTTACACATTTAGTACTTTCTAAAGTCCCATTCTAATCGATTTCCATATGTTGGGTCACATAGTCTTTAGAAACCTCTCATAAGGGTTTTTTAAAAAAATTTCTATTGTTGAACATGAAACTGGGGTATAGAAGGAAAATATATTAGCTGATTAAACTGAGATACCAAAAGATACTGAAAAATTTGAATAATGATCTGATTTGGGTTAAGTTTAGGGTTAGGAATAGTAATGATGATCAGAGCCTAGGAAGAGGAGGGTGATGGATACAGAATGCTTAATGGCTAACGTTACAAGGTATATTCGGATAAAAGAACAACCTATGATGGCAGAATGGGGTAGCTCTGGTTAACATTTATAGACAGATTTTAAATGCTACCAACACAAAGAAATGAAAAATATTTGTGATTATGGACATACAGAGTACCCCACTAATATCATTACACCTTATACATACGTATTAAAATACCACATAGTCCCTCATATTATGTACATAAGTCATTTTATCAATCAAATGTATTTAACTTTCAAAAAAGTTTTTTAACTTCACCAAGCACAAGATCCCGTATGGAAATAAAACAACTACACAAGGTAGAATGGGAGAAATACAGCTTACCAACAGATCATAAATAAAATAGACGTAGAATTTTTCTCCAATAAGAAGTTCAAGGAAAATTGATGGGATATTAAGGTTACTAAAAGTAATGAACTCAAAGCTGGACTGATGGAAGAATTGTAGGCTTTCAGAAGAGAGAGAAGCAAGGGTCCAGCTTTCCTGTGTTTCTTCAGTTTATTTTGAAGTGGGTTCTGCTACTAATCCCACATTTTAAAAAAGTTGTAAACAAACTCAGGTATAGTCAAAAGAAAGCAAATGCCAAGATTATGGCACTGTATTAGAAGTAGTAAAAATAGCTGCTTAACATTGGGAAGATACACAAACAGCCGTAAGGGTAACTGTATAGCTGTTCTCCGCATTGAAAAATTGCTACAAACAAGGAAGATCACATTCGTTTAATATAAACTCAAATAGTAAAACTCGCAAGAGTGAAAAGAGGAAGAATCACACAAAAAACTCCAATCTTATCAAGCACTTGTAGTAATTGGAGCTAGGAGTGAACTGCTGTGGGAGAGAATACATTCTCTGTCCCTGGATGAGCACACAGCCGAGGTATTATAAGGATATTCACAAATTAGATGGGTAGTTAGCATAGATCACTTATCTCATGATTTTATTCTAGACTCTCCTTTCTCACAGGAAACCAGAAGCAACTGAGAGGTGGCCCCTTTCTGGCCTGAGTGAGCAGAAGGCTGATCAGGACTTAAGAGTGTCTACCCTGAGTTAGAAGATTTGGGCACTTGTTGGAGTAGCAGCTCCTGCAGCACAGTGTAAAGGCTCATTTCTCCATTCTTACTTGCATGAGTCCCTATTCTCACACATCCCAAACTGTGCTAAAGCCATCTGTGATCACACCTTTGCCTTAAATATTGTGTTTATGATCTCACTTGTAAATTGACCACTCCTAATTGGTTTGTCCAGAAGTTACACTCGAATTGGCCTTCAGAAAATTTTACCGAGGCAGGTGCACACAGAGCCTCTCTGATTTTTCTAAATTCAAAAGCTAATCCTTACCTTAAGATCCTTCTTTATAAAGGAAAAATTTTACTGGCTCAGGGGCACCTATTTATCTAAAACAAAAGAATCCCTGAAGCATAGACTGTCATGGATTTAACAGGACTTTATTTTCTCACTATATGGGTAAAAGTTGTTAATGGATAAATCATTGTTTCAAATGACATATAAAATCTGGTCTCTGTCACACTAAAGAATAAAATATAAGAATATCATTGTTTCTCAAAATGGAAATTTAGGCTTGAGGGCAAACCTGGGATCAAAGCCTGTAATTACAGAATTTTGTTTAATAATCTGTGCTGACCTTCAAAGAACAACCATGCTCTAAAGGATATGAGATTTTAGCCAGTGTGCAACTAAAATCCCAAATATCTTCCCAACCTCTTATTTCATGCCTTCTAAAAAACACACAAAAGTTTTGATAGTAATGACATTTCAGGCTGGTCTTCTTTCAGGAAGGTGGAGGCATTCTCACCAGATACAGGCATATGGTGCCATGAAGAGTACCTTTCTGGAGACTGATTTGTTCATCAAATCAGGAAGAAAAGAGGCAAACTTCACTGAGGAGGAGATCACTCCATCATCCAGAATCAAAATCAGTTCTGTTAGAATTGATCCACCACGCTGCTTATGTCTGAACCCTAGCAGAAGAACTTTAGCTTTGGATTTTCTAGAGATTGTATCCTTTATACTTTATATACATTTATTTATTATTCATTTGAATAAAGAAAATATTACATATTTGCATTGGTTAAATGTCTTCTTAATGATATATTTCATATTATATAATAAAGGGAACATGAACAGAATCATAGTAGCTAAATTATCTGCTTCTAGGTGACACTGCTTTGAAGCACATTGTATTATCAAAAGTGTCCTGACCTAATTTTATAACATTGTGTGACCTCCTAGTCCTGTATTCCAAAGTCACTTTAATCAGCATTGTCATCCTGGTTTTTTTCTTTAAAACTCCTTGTTATAATATAATTTCATGTCCTGTCCTCAAAGTGGCCTTTATTTTGAAATCCTGCCAAGAACACCATCTTTCTGAGCACTAGAGTTTGATTAAACATATTGCCAAAGAATGTCTTTCAAAGGAAACATCTTACCCAGTTTCCATTTATAAACTTTTTATAGAGAAGCATATGCTTTGAAAATAATCTTCCAATTTAGGTGTAAAGTAACACGATGTGGTCTCAAACTCCAATCAGAATAAACTGTTTCCTAGAAGGAATCTTGTGGTTTATTTATGTCATATATCCCTCATGTACCCAGTATAGGAATTTGGCAGGCGAAGACCCAAATGTGTGGCTGATGCAAACAACTCATGCTCACAATTTTCTCAAGATGAATTTTTAGCCCTGAGTTTTAACCTAAAATCTTGTTCCTTCCCAGTTTCAGAGTGAACTTTGTCCAAAGTAGAGAATATAACAGTAACTTTCAGGGTATGTGCTGGTAACTTTGGATTAATTATAACTGTCTTTTATGTGCAAGCTGATGCCTGGTCAATCTTTAGACAACCACAGCTTTGCTCCACAAGTCCACTTGTTTTCTAGTCCACCCATGTGGCCTGGCTTCTGCTGAAGAATTTGTCAGATACTGATACCTGCCTTGGGGAACTGAAACTTGGTCCAGATGTATGTCTGATTTCTTGGGAACAATTTAGAATTGCGCAGGCAATTTCTCCCTATAGAATAATATTCTGGTTTGAAACTATGACTATCTTGTCTCAATAATTACAGCATATGTTCTGGGGTACTTAGGATAGCCAGAATCAAGCTTGAATTAACCGCACCCATATGGATACAGGAATTTGGATGGCTGCTGACTCCTTATCTGGAGCCAAAATCAGAGTTGAGCTCCAACTCACGTTTTCCAGCCCTTTCCCATTCCCCTGAACTGGCAGAAAACTCCAGTACACTTTTCAGTTTAGATTTTATGTGCTACACCATAAGGAACCAATACAATTTGAAAGAAAAAAATAAATTTTAGGAAGAATTTAGGAATTCTCTAATTTGAGGATTCTGGAGGCTTGTGAAGCTGACTCTAACTTTGGTCACAGGTGTAAGGCTCAGAGTTGCATTTATTTACTCAATTATGTGTTTCTGGTGCTCTCTGTACTTTCCAGTCTACTGGGATCCTGGACAAAAGGGAGAGAGAGAAAAGGAGAGGGAGCGAGAGAGACAGACAGACAGACATAGACACAGACACAGACACAGACACAGACACAGACACAGACACAGACACAGACACAGACACAGACAGAGAAAGAACAGAGGGAAAGAGGAGGGGGGAGAACCTGCTCATTCACAGAGGCCAAGCCTTATTTGGATCTGAATTTGAGAAACATTTAATATGACCAGAGCTTTAACATTCACTGGAATTTTGGGTGAATCAGCTAATAAATGCTCTTTAATCATTCCTAGGATATCATCGCATTCTTCTTTACTATGTGATGTTCCCACCACACTACAACACAAGGGCAAATTACTTTTTCAATTACTTATCCTTCTCTTCTCACTGGCTCACCCATCTTTCCTATTATCTGGGCTAACTTAGTTCATTTTATATAGGAGGATTTCCTAGAGGTGAAGGGCATGAGGCTGTAAATTATGTTTTTTGGAGAAATTTCATTCCTCAGGATACTTAAGAATAAAAAGAGAATATTTCTGCATAGAAATATTTCATTAAATTTTATGTGAGCCAGGAGAATGAATCACAAGATTCTTGCAAAGTCTTTTCAGGATCCGTGAAAAACCTGTTTATGTGGCAGTGATTGGAAACTACAGTTTCAAGTAACAATATTCTGGCCTAGTCTATTTATGAGCCAGGAGCATAGGGAATACTCCATCAGTTTCATGTTCATATACAAGTGTGCCAACCTATAATCTTTCATTACAAGACAAGTCCTTTGAATGGTGACAAATTTTGAAGCCCTTTGGGAGCTTCAGTGTGGCTCAGCGAGTCTAATTTGGACTCCATTTCCTTCGATTCTAGGGAATAGGGAAGGTGAATGTGACACGACTTTGGCTCCTGACGACAGTTGAATAGATTTATTTCTGTGATTGATTAAAAGATCACACGGTTTTGCTAGGCATTGCAACACCGCACCAACTTCAAGGGGTTGAAACTGCCATTGATTCTGCTGTGCTGTTAGGGAAAAAAATCCAAGCCTGCACTCAGTGTTAGCAGCCCATAAGCAGAGTTAGCAGTCGCTTCAGTTGCTGTGAAATGGAGCTATGCAAGGAGATCCAACAAAAGAGTTTAAATATACATCTGTACACATATATTACTTTTTGCATTGTATTTGAACAACTGATTTTAAATTTCAATGTAGAAAACACCAATGACTTTCTCTTAATACAGTCAATAATAAGAGATGTTTACCTCAGAAATGTGTGACTTTCAATAAATATTTTGAGATTTTGTTGCCTACTATTTTGTGTGTCTGGGGAAAACGTCAGTTATAACTTTCTTGTTCTTTTTTAATTACAGAAGAAGTGCATGAGTCTGTAAAAAATGTTCAGCATAACATAGATATTTGTCTCCATACCCCCCACAAAAATCTCTCAGAGATATGCAACACTAACAATTTGGGGTATAGAGAAAATAAAAGGAGAAAGATGTACAGGTGGTGGCAGGTACAAATGTTACCCTACAAACTCAAGTATGTAAATTTGTAATTTATTTTTACACCAATTTAAATTATAATAGGTGCTCCCATTTCATCAGATCAGTAATTTCTCTCAATCACACTTTATCACACTCAGAACTGGGTCCCTGGTTGGGAGCTCACCAAGTACCAAGGCTGTGGGAGGGGTACTGGTGGCATATTGTTCTTTCCCTTGTCTCCCTAGGATGGCATCCACTGAGATGCCTGTCCGAAATGGTACTGAATTGTGGATTCACATGGGTCCCTCCACGTAGAGCATCTGTAACCGGTATAAAATGTGTGGCATGTTTAGACTGATAAGCATTACAGACTTTCCTCAGGAGAACAGGAATTCTGCCATTCCTGCTCCATCTCAAATGATCTTACTTCATAAAGTTAACTCTGACTCTACCTAGACGCACACCATAGAGCTGCTGCTGCCTCTCTGGAGAGGAACCTCCATTCTCACTGCTTTTGGACACTCACAGTTAACTGAGTTTCACTGGTTTGGCTTTGCCTCAAGAGGACTGAGGGACAGGATTCTGAGTCTCTTTGTCACTCACCTATTTCTATGAAAATCTTACTGTTCATTCGAACTCTCCTCTCCCTGGTGGGTAAAGTGGTCAGAATGGCTCCTTCTAACTCGTTATTTCCTTGAAAATCTCTTCTCCATTTCCTGAGCTTTTTCCATTTCTTCCCACATGTTAAACTTGTAAAATTCATAACTCCAAAGCTGATGACTTTTTAAAACTCTCTCACTGGTGTGTCATATCTTGTGTGAGGCAAGAAGGAAAAGTGTTTGGAACAGGTAAGGCATGCAAAAAAGATATTGGGTACAATGGATATATCAAAATATAGTTGAGAAATCAAAACTTAAAATATGATTGATCAATCAAAAACATTAGTGTGAACTGGGAATTAAGCACTGTTAAATATTTTCCAAAAATCTGGAAATTAATTTACCATACTTCTATCATATAAACAATTCTTTCATATCTTTGTCACTTTTCACAAAAAAATGATGATGGATTAGTGTCTGAAAGCAAGCCAGTATATAGCAATATGCCTGTGCCAGTTGTTTATGGCCCATTAATTACAATCAATTTGCTCTAATAATCAGTTTTGGCCTATGCTGTTATCTTAATTTTGTTCTCATTTTTACTCCATTTTCAATTATACTTAGGTGCACCTTAATTTATGGAACTTATGGATACTTAGGTTGTCTCTTGTATTTTTCTATTTAAGCAATGCTAGACTGACTATCTTTGCAAATATTTCTGTGTGTATCATCACAACTCTTTCTATAGTACAGGTGTCTTAAAGTAGAATAATTGGGTTGGAAAGTGTAATTACATTCCTACCATAGGTACGAATATGTCCTTTCCTTCAAGCCCTGTTAGCAGTTAATGTTTTAAGTTTTTAAAAATTTGCCAAATTTTAGATGCTATTGGTTCAATATTGTTTTAAGTTCATTATTCATACTTGATTTGATCTTTCCAATTATTTTGAGAATTCATCCTTTTTGTTTAAAGCATACCATTCATTTACTTAAATACATAGGTAAGAGATTGCATATGCTTGTCTCTTGTTTTCTATTTTTTCTATTTTAATTCTATTTCTTTATCCTATCATATGGTATTTCTAATAACATATGTGTTTTTTGCCCAGAAAAATATTTCATTGCTGAATAATTCAAGAATTTTACTAATTTTATTGATACTTTCAAAGAAGCAACTCTTGTTCTTGTACTTGCTTATAATAACTCTGTTTATAATAATCTTGTTAAATACCTTTTGTAATTTCTGCTACAATCATTGTCTTTTGTTTCTGTTTTATTCATAGAGCTTCTGTCTTGTTCAAAAATATAGGTTTTGGATATTTACAAAAATATTTTCAGGCATTTGCTTTTTGAAATAAATTATTTCTTATATTAAAATGAATCTTTGTCCATAATGATCTATTCAAAACAAAAGTGAAGATGTTTTTGATTGTACAACAAAAACAAAACAATTAGAATCTAAAATGTCTAAGTGTCTAATAAGGTAAATAATATGAATTAAAATGGTTAAAACATGAATAGAAAATTCAC